ACAACCATTTTCAATTCTCTGGGGGTATGTGCTGAGGAGTGGAATTGCAGAGGTGTGTAATGAGGGAGGAGAATGGGATGGCTTTGATCTTCAGGAAACCACGCATGTGGCAACAGACTTTTCCTCAGGATGTGAAGTTAAGCTTCCCTTCCCCTTATTGGGAAGAATCCAAGAAAGAACTACAAATAGTTGTGGTATGGTGACAGTTTGGAGGGGGTAGAGGATGATGGGGAGGCAGGTGAAGATTATAAGCCCTCCCACACAGTTGGCAGCTTCCCACATCACCCTATAGCTCTGGAATGAGTTTTTTGCTTTGTGACTGTGCCCCCTATGCTCTAAGGGCGGGACTCCAAAGGGGTGTGAGCACAGCCCTGGGAAGGACCTCTCGCCCCTGGGATGGCTGCCCCAACCTTCCTTCTGAAAGTTGTCACCAAACCAAAATGAAATTCTGAATTTTCTGATTGTGGATGTGACATGTGTTCATTATAAAGCAATGGGCGGGGCCTCCCTGGTGGCGCAGGGGTTAAAGACAGTGCTATCAAGACGGCCACTGCAGCATGAGTGTGATGCCCTGCCGGCCAAGAAACTACCCACATGGCGCAGCAGACCTCTCCTGTCTTGCCCGCTGCTCCCCTCAGCAGTGTATTTCAGTCAGTCTGCCTGTTCTGTTCCCCACTCTGTCTCTGGTGAGTCTTCTCACCCCCTGCCCGCCTCCCCGCACCTCTGGCCTGTACCCCAGCTCTTGTATGCATAAATAAATAAATAAATCTTTAAAAAAAAACTGTTTAAAAAAATAATAAAGCAATGGGAAACATAGACCAGTGGGGCCTTCCCGTGATAGACACTCAGACCTTGACTGCTTGCTCGTTTGCTGTTCAACTCTTGGCAGCATTTAAATTTTTGTCAGATCTTTTGCGAATTCCCAGCCCAGGCATGCTTGAGAAGCAGCTGTCCAGAGCTGCCCTTTAGTCTTTCATTCTGCAATGGGCTTGAGGTCAATGAAGGAGGCTGAGAATGTCAGGGTGGCTGAGGGGGCAGAGTATAGGCCTATTGTATTGTTGGGGTTCTCACACAGAGTGATTTGAGCCCTGGGGTCACCGGGCAATGTCTGGGCACATTTTTAGCTGGGGCATGCTACCAGCATCTGGTAGACAGAACCCGGGGACACTGCCAAGCACCCCTCATGCATAGGATGGCCTCCACCCCAGAGAATGATCCAGCTCCAGACATCAACGGTGCCGAGGCTGAGAAGCCACAATTCAACACACACGGCAATTTAGAAAGCTTGCTTGCTTGAGTTCATTGCATAACTCTTGGTGGAAATGTGATACGGAGAGATGAGAAAATATTTGGCTAAAATGTTAAAGGAATGCAAAATGCATCAAGAATAAGAACAAGCAAGCAGCCCTCCAACCTCAGGGCCCCCCAGCCCCTTGCCCTGGAGACTTTCAACACATTTTTGGTGGTCTTCCCAAGTTTTTGGAAAATTTAACAAATTGTTCCTTTCCCTACATGTCATTTTGACCTGTTTTCATTTTTAAATGACTATTTCCTAGTGATTCATTTTCACAATGCAGTTTGTTCTTTAAATAGTTTTAAGTTTAGCTCCCAACACAACAGAACGTGTCTTCCACACCATCTGTTCATCATGCAACTCTCTGGAGGCCGCTATTCGCTGGTGCATGCAGCGCACACTGCCCCCTGCCACAGGGGACGCACAATTTTAAGCAGAGATGGAAGAGGCTGTGGAAGCAAGTTGTGGGGTTGTGTGTGTGTGTGTGTGTGTGTGTGTGCATAAGCGCCCGTCCAAGCTGGTATGTTTGTCCCAAGTGTATACACACACGTCCCCTTCAGCAGTACCTCGTTTCCTAGGATGGTCATAACCAATGAACACATACTAGGAGGCCTGAACAGCCTAAATGTACTCTCACCATGCAGGCCAGGAGTCAGGGCGGGGGCAAGCTGGCTCCTTCTGGAGGCTCTCAGGCAGTCTGTCCCAGGTCTCTCTCCCGGGACAAGACCCTTCGTGTTCTGCAGCTTATAGACATGTTGCTCCAATTCTGCTTCTGTTCTTCTGCACATTTTAATCTGTTTCTCCTCTTTTCTTATGGTGTCACCTGCCATTGCAGTTAGGGTCCTCTACCAGTCTGAGGTGATCTCACTGCCAGAACTTTAACCCAATTACATCTGCAAAGACCCTTACTCCAAATTCCGTTTGGAAGGCCACTACTCTGACAGAAGGTAAAAAACAGGGCCTCCCTGGTGGCGCAAGGGGTTAAGCACAGCACTGTGAAACTATCCACAGCCTCTGCAGCACGTGATTGATCCCCGGGTGGCCAGGGAGCTGCTCACACAGCGCAGCAGACCTCTTCTGCCTCCCCCACAGCAGTGTATTTCAGGCAGTCTGCCTGCTCTGCTCCCCACTCTGTCTCTGGTGAACCTTCTCACCACCCCCGCACCTCTGGCCTGTACGTTTTTGTATGCATAAATAAATATTTTTTAAAAAATAGAAAAAGGAACAAAAAACAGATCCGCTCATTCAGTGGGCTGACTCACATGCTCTTTTCCCTGCAGTGAAGGAAGAGCCTGTATCTGGATCTTTGCTGACTGTGCGCGGTGACCATGTGGTTGGGGGGAAAGACCCTGGAAAACTGGCCGTGAATAATATGCCTTATGGGGCACAGCCCTATGGCAGTCACTGTTTTAAGGATGTATCAGACTTGGACACAGCAATGGCCATCAGAAGAAATGCTTGCCAGGCTCGGAAGGTAATTGGAAAAGGCACATGGATATCCCAGTGGCCTCCTCACTTGTGACAGCCTTGGGGTATAACACCAGCAGATTTGGGGGGTCCACAGCAAGAGAGAGATGGGCTGAATCTCAACCCCCTGATGCACAAAATACCAACAGAGCTGTTGTCTGCCAAAAGAGAGACTCCAGTGGCTATGGGGCAGTTTCCCTGGGAAGGCCCTGATCTTTGCTGGCAAGTCAGACTGAAGCTGTAACCCTGGGAGACTGGAGGCAGGGGGACAATTGGGTCTTGACAGGGACAGACACCAGCTCTGGATGGGACTTGTTTAGCTGTCGGCAGATGCGAATGCTTGCAGCGTCAGCAAAGAACAGAACAGAAGATACTGTGATGGTCAGGCCCACCAAGTCACAGATCTTCAGAATAGGGAACATGCTCACATCTCATAATGTCCAGTGATGGGCAGAGTTCTCTTCCTCAGAACAACAGTTTGATAGAGACTTGGAACACCGGTTGTCAAAAATGAGGGAAAGATAAAGGCAAACCAACAAAAAAGAGTGGTCTCCAGTCACATTATCATCATTGGTGGTTGTTAAAATGAAAGGACACGAGGACGTGGGGTCTCATCTTCATGCCAGAACAAGGTCAGATCTGCCCTCTGGGCTTGGGCCTCTAGCCTCGGAACTGCCCATGAAGTGACAAGACACCTTAGGCCTCTGATTACCGAGTGCGTATAACACGGGGGAGTAGGAAGGGCAGCCAAGAAACTGCTGTCAGTGAGGGTACTGCGGTGCAGTTGGATTTTGTGCTCCATCCTGACATGGATGTAAGCTGGGAACAGGGTGTGGCTGCAATGCTGCAGTGCGGAAGAGCACGCTTGAGTTGATACACAACCCACAGCTGCCGTCAAGGACAGTGTATGTGGCACAGACACTTCACTGCTGAGGACCACAAGGCAAACGACATAAACGCCGCCTTAGGTCTGCTCACTGTGGGGGTGGGGAGGGGGTGAGGCTGTCCAACTCCTCTTATAAATGTCAAGTGGGACACACCCCAGATGAAGTAACTGAGACACTTCCTGTGCCAGTGACGTGGGGCTGATCCTAAGATAACCGGGGTGGCTGCCTGCTGAGTATGCTCATTACCCAGGTATAGTAAGTGCTATGATTTGGGGACCCTTTTGCATGGACACCTCCTATCTGTGGCATCTCATCTTCCCCTCAGGTGTCTTAAAAGATGCTAAAACAGATTTAAGCAAAGGGTGGAAATCTTTAGGTGCTTACTAAGAAACAGAATCTAAAGACACCATGACGAGTTGAAGCAAAGGTCAGAGTCCAGCACTACGAAAGGCTGGGTGGGCAGTGCTGGCCCCCGGACATTCAAGGCCACAAACAAGTCTGCTGGCTTTGCCTGTTTGGAGGGATTTAAAAGGCTAGAAAGCAGATTCTAATGCAAAGCCTGACCTAGAATCATTTGGGCTAATTAGTGAAGATAAGAACCCAACAAAAGGACCAGGATCGTGGGATACCCCTCTTCTGTAAATTCAAAACTTTTGCACATGAATGGGGGTATCAGGGGCAGAGACATTTCTGGGTATCTGATACAGGAGCTCCAAGGAGAACAGTCAGGACTCAGAACTAAGGGGGTGTGTTCTTGGCAACTGGAGTAAATTCAACAGGCTTGAGGGCAGAGGCTGTGTCTGCTCCACTTGCACGTTGTGTGGAAAGGAGACCCCTCTCTTCCCTACAATTGTGAGTAGAAACCTCACTGAAGTCCTAGGAGACCCCCATTGGGAGCAGGGTTAGAAGTAAGGGACAGCCAGAAGCCAGTCTGTCTGCAAAGCTCTGAGTGAGTGTCTGGTCTCCTTTACCCACAAGCACATGCTGATGGATGCCACGTCTCATTCAGGGATGTTCCCTTTCCTGGTGGCGTAACACAGACAGAACACACAGGAGCCGCTAAAGGCAAAGCAGGTACACTACCTGGGATCCAGTGTGACTGCCGGGGTCCCACAGTGTTGACAGGAGCCGAGTGCTGGACAGTGTCCAGTGTGGAGTGAGGACCGCAGCTAGTCAAAGCCGAGGTGCCTTCTGGCGACGGCCACTGGCCCTGGACAGGACGGGTCCCATTTGAGAGTCAATGACCACTCCAAAAGACACGAGCCATCCTGAAGGTGAAACACCTACTGTCTCAGAGGTCCTGGGGCTCTGGACCAGCTGTTCAGTGGAACCAGGGACAACGCTTGCTGTCTGCTGGTGCTGATGACGAAATCAAGGCTCAATTGCAAATTTTATTTTTTAAATATCTAACAAGATCACCATACAAAAATAGTTTTGCTGCTAAGTGCATAAAGTGCTCAGTTTCTAGAATACCACACATGAACCACCATGGCACAAATGTGCCCGAAGACGCAGCCCATTATATCTCTATCCTGAAGTTGACGGGAATATTCTACTTGGACCGGGCTGTGCACATTCAGGGTACATGCGCCTGGTCATTGTTCCAGAAGAGGAGAGGGCTCTTCAGGTCACTTGGAGATTCCCTGCAGGCGCCCTCTGGACTGAAGTACCACTGGCGTGCGGCAGCGGACCCCTGGGCCTCCTCCCAGGCCTCCTGGCTGCTCAAGGCCGCCTCTTTGCTCACCTCAGCAGACAGCTCCAGCACCTGAGCAAAGCTCCTGTGGAAACAAGGCAGAGAAGGCCCTTCAACCCCAGGCCTGAGAGCAGGGTAGGACGAGAAGGCTAGAGCACCTCCATCACCAGGACCACATCGGAGGAGACAGATTCACGTGGGAAATCGTTGGTAAGCAAGCATTGTCTGAAAGAACAGTACTTTTCCTGACAAACATTTAGGGAGTAGAGATACCATGACACAACCTGCCCTAGGAGCAGATAACAGCATGGCCAAGATAACATCCCTGCCATCACACAGCCTAAGAACATCGAACGAACAAGTACTAATCGAGCAGGTTTGGCCATTTCAACCCATGACCCTTCCAACCCAGACACCTTTGTGTGTCCTCGTTTCATCCCGGCACAGGCAGGAAACACCACGTAGGTGGCAGATGTCTTTCTTCATAAGTCCCTTTCAAATAGATCAGGTAACCCAGGAAGTGTTCAGTTGTCCCTCAATATCTGCGGTGGTGGGAGGGCAGGGATTGGCCTCAGGACCCCCATCTCCGAGAGTACCCAAACCCCAGATGCTCAGGTCCTCACATAAAAACACACAGTATTTGCATATAACCCACCCACAGGCTCCCGTACACTTCAAACCTTCTCTAGATTACTTGCACCACCTAATACAACGGAAGCTTCAGGTAAACAGCTCTTATGCTGTACGAGGGATAACAAGAAAAGAGTCTGTACTTGCCCAGTACAAACACAACCACTACAGGACTAATAGCAGGTGAACCCACAGACACAGAGGGCCAGCTGTATTGAGCCATGCAAACGAGAGGAAAGCAGATTCTTTGGGGGGAAGAACTAGAAAGGCCCAAGGTTAGAAATCTCTGAGGGAGGCATCGACAATGAGAGGAGGGGACCAAGGCAGCTGTGGGGGCTGTGGCTGTGTTGGACCTGGGGGCTGCTTCCACCCATCTCGCTGTGCAGCTATGCCCAATGCTTCATCTGCACGTATTTACACCTCAATAAGAAATTCTAAAAATGCTTTCCTTGGAAGACACTTAAAGCATGGACAGACCAAGAGAGGGCGCCACTGTCTCCCTCTTTCCATTCTGGCTGCTTGAGAATCACACAGGGTTTCAGTGAGTTGAAGGCTCCTGCCCACTTGTTCCACTCTCCCGGCCTCGCAGACCCCTGCACCCTCAGCTAACTCAAGCAGTGCAGTGCCCACAGCTCGTCCCTGCCTGGTAGGGGTTGTCCTTTTTTTAAAACTATGTTCTAAACTACCTTCGAAGCTCAAGGTCCTTTACTTGCGTGGCTTCCCTGAGCTCATTCAGCAGTTCCAACAGCTTCCCATTTTCTTCTGAACTGCCAATGCCAAGTTCTCCCAGCAGGCGTCGAGTGGTCATCAATTCCTGCTGTAGATCATCTGCAGGAGGAAAGGGTAGTCACACAGGGTTTCAGGTACCTGAACAAGGACACCCAGCTTGAGTGACATTTCTCTGGAATGCTATCCAGTGGTACTGGAATTGCAAAAGCACCTGAGCTGGTGCTGCCCTCAGCCCCTCTGCCTGAGATCACAGTGGACTGAGACAGTAGGTCAGGCGCGTCTGCCGTGAAGCCACTGGGGAATAGAAATGGAAAGACATTTGGATGTCCTCAGCAGAAACGAATGGAAAAGACATAGAAAGTCTACACTGTGAGTAACTTAAAAACTAATCTGTTCTCATTCATTTCCAGCACCCATGCACCACCCCTACCCCAGGAGAACTGCTTGCAACCACACTGTACAGATCTTCCTTGACTTACAATAAGATGATGGCCCCATAAAACCTTTGTTAGCTGAAAATACTGTAAGTCAAAAATGCATTTACTACACTTCAACTACCAAGCACCATTGCTCAACCTAGCTGACCTTAAACGTGCTCAAAACACTGACATCAGCCTCCAGTTGGGCAAAAGCATTTCACACAGAGCCTATTTATACACTAGTGTTGACTATCTCATGTCATTCACTGAATACTACACACAGTGGAGTACTGGCTGTTTCCCCTTGTGATGGCGAGGCTGACTGCGAGCTGTGCTTGCTGCCCTACCCAGTGTCACAGAACATGGTACTACACAGTGCTAGCCAAGAAAAGACCAAAATTCAAAATCTTAATGACAGTTGATACTGAAATGTGTGATGCTTTCACACCATCATCATAAAAAAAGTCATAAATTGAACCATTGTACCTCCCACTGCTCTAAGATGACCAGTGTCTCCCTGCTGTGGCACACATCACAGCCATACATGAGGACGAGGGGACCCTCAGGAGGGCCTCACACATGCACCCTCTTTTATCTCATTGTGTCCTCCCTAAAAGACACATGCAGGTGCCAATCTCAAGTACCCAAGAAAGTGAACCTATTGGAAGTGGGATCTTTGTTGAAGTAACAGAATTAGAATGAGCTCAGTTGGGTGGAGTCTACTTCAGTAAGAAGAGGGAATTCAGATACAGAGGTGCTTGGGGAAAAAGGTTGTAGGGGACAAAACATTGAAGGGGGTGATACAGCTATGGCTCCAGGAAGGATAAGAGCTGCCAGTAACACGAGAAGTGGGAAGCGAGGCCTGGAAGGGACCATCCCTCAGAGCCTCCAGAACAAGCACCCTGCCCTCACCTTGATCTTGGGACTTCCAGCCTCCAGGACTGGGGGAATGCAATTCGGTTGTTGTAAGCCCCCCAGTTTGTGATCTTTTTATGGCAGCTGCCCCAGGACACTCCCATGGCAACTATCTAAGGAACTCATCATGGGTGGAGATTGAAATGTGCAGGGGACTGAAATCATTGCAAAATTGGAATCCAGATAGAGAGTCGTTCCACAAGGCTCACTTCCTTAAGTCTATTTCATGCTGGAAAAACTTGATTCTATTAAAAAAACATCTGTCAACTGACAGGACCACCAATTCAGCCACACTCTTTTTGACCTTGAACTTTGTTTTCACTGCGTCAAACAAATTTTCTGTGGAAGGTTCTGGAAGGAAATTCACCTGCTCTTAAATAGCGATATTTTACAACAGACTTAAGCAAAAGTGTTTAGATGGTTCCTGAGAACTCTGCTTAGAAATAACCACTCCAGTGAGTTGGAGTGGTTGCTGTCTAGAGTCTGGTTGCTGTATGCTCCAGGCCTCAGTGATGGTAAGATGCCATCCTGGGCATGTGGGAGAGGTGGTCTGCGTTCTTAGTGGTGGGAAGACACCATCTTAGATGTATTTTTTTTTTTTAAAGATTTATTTATTTATACAAGCACTAGGTACAGTCAGATGTGTGGGAGGGTGAGAGAATTCACCAGAACCAGAGCAGGGAACAGATCGGGCAGACTGACAAAATACACTGCTGAGGGGAGCAGTGGGCGCGGCAGGAGAGGTCTGCCCACCATGTGGGACCCTCGCCGATGGCCGGGGATGGAACCGGCGCTGCAGAGGCTGCGGGCAGCTTCGCAGCCCAGCGCTCAACCGCTGCGCCACCTGGGGAGGCCCATCTTAGATGCATTTTGTTTAGGACTTAAAACACTGGACATTGCTTCGGGTGAGGTAAATGGCCATTTTTGGCCTCAATAACTGTTTTTCCCTATTTTGTTAAATAAAAAAAGGAAAAAAAAAACCCACTCCAGGGTAACTGAAAACTTGGCTTTGGGAAGATGAGTGCTCAAAAGGGAGTTCCAAGATTGAGCATGAGTTTCTTCAGCAGAGGCTTTAGGTAGGACCCTGAAAAGGGCCTTGAGGCCCCTCTGCATAGCTCCCCACAGCTAGGAGACTGCAGATTGCTCCCCAAATGTCTTTCAGTGGGGCAGGAAACCATCAGGAAGCCCTGCAAACCTGGGTCGAATCCAGCTAGGGGGTGTGAGCCTGAGGAAACCGCAGCCCAGCCAGCCCGCAGCTGTCCTTGGCCATTTGACACAGGACACATCAACTTCCTGGGAGGAGGCTGTGGGATGCCACAAAGGGTCACAAGTGCCAGACACAGGAAGCATGTTTCCTACCTAAGAACTGAGATCCATCACCATCCAGGTAGATAGAATTCACAGGCAGCTCATGCCTTGTGGTGTCCAGGGCTGTGGCGAGTGTCTTGTACTGTTCTTTGAAGCGTTGGGCCAAGGCCTCGTAGGGGCCAAGCATCTCTATCTGCAGGCGGAGGGAAGGGGAACTGTGAGTCAATACCCTGCAGCCCCATGCGCAGTGCAACCCACACTTGAGGATGAAACACAGCAAAGTGTTTCAAAGCGCTTCCAGGGAATCCTCTGAAAGCTTCTGGGGGAGCGGCTGCCCCAAGGCAGCACAGTCAATAGCAAGGTGGCAGAGCCCCCCCACCATAAGCATTCACTTTTCAGCATGTTTTAGAGCCTTCAACTGGGGTCACATGGGCCACGGAAAGCTCCTTTGAAGCGTTGATCTGAAATGCCCGTGCCCTGCAAGGGGGTCTCCAGCACCCCCATTTCCTTCGTCTACAGGATCCAGGTCCTCACGATGGCTTTTTAACAATCATTAGCTGATTTTTCATTTCTTTCTCTTCTAGTCCACAGGGACCCCATTTTTAGTAAAGGTGACACTGAGTTAACTGTGCCCCCATTCCTCTGTGGACATGCCAACTCCCAGACCCTCAGAACATGACCTGATTTGGTCACAGAGACGTTACAGGATAACTGAGTTAATGTGAGGGCATTAGGGCAGGCCCTGTCAGTATAACCAGTGTCTTGGAAATAGAGAAAAATTTGGAGGCCAAGGGAGGAGACAGAGGAAGATGACAATCATCGACAAGGCAAGGAGAGGGGGCCTGGGACACACTCTTCCCTCACAGCTCCGTAGGAAGCAACTCTGCTGATATCCTGATCTTAAACTTCCCATTTCCAGAGTTGACACAACAAATGCCATTTGTTTCAGCTATCATCCAGTCTGTGGAGCTTGGTTATATCAAGGCCCAGGACACGCACGCTCTGGGTGAGGGGCACCACTCCCTGATCTGCCCTTTCCATTACATTGTTGTAAAAGTCATGACACATTTTTGCTTGAAAAACAAAAAATACATCATAACTTTTCCGACAACCCAATAGGTTCCCAGCACCAACCATGTGGCACCAAGACCACGTCTCCCACCAGCGCACTGGCCCTCCTGGGCAGCAGGGTCTTTGTGTTCCAGGTGTCTGCAGCACATGTACACATACAGTGAAGGGACAGATTCCCCTGCTGGCTTTATGCAACATTATAGCCTTGTCCTCTTAGCGACTGTCACATACTACACCTGATGGTATTCACGGCAGAGTGACACCCACCATCAATACTCCTGGTCACGCCCTGCCAGACTCACAGCTCAGACCTGGTGGTCGCAACTAACCTGAGCATCAAGGATATTAACCAGCTCCTGAGTCCGCTGATAGAGGAGAAGTCTGCGCTTTAGCTCATGGACTTTTTTCTGTAGCTTCTCTTTCTCTTTGCACATTATTAATAAATTTCTTTCTGCCTTTTCCTTGAACAGAGCAAGACTATTTTCCATCTGTTTAGGGTGAAATAAGAGCTCAGGTCAGAGGGGGTTTCACTTGTGCAGCTGATAGAGCCACCCTCCACCCACATCACACACAAACAAGGTTCTGTGTTCACCTTTACAGTCAGCAGAGTCAGGAGTAAGGTTTGGGATTCCATCATTTCCATTGTTTCGGATAGATCCTTAAGAGGAAAAAAGATACTTTTGGTTCCCAGTGAAATGAGGGACATCCAGCTTTCTACACAGGCCCGCCCCCTGGCCCATGTTTTCTTTATTTAATTCAGTAACTCAGTAATTCTCTACTGTGCGGCAGCCCCTCCCTGTCCTCAGTTTCACTTTCTGTAGTTCTGTTACCCAAGGTTGCCCCGATCGGAAGTCTCAGTATTTTGAGCATGACATAAGTTCACGTAAGTTTTGTTAGAGTATATTATTGTAATTGTTTTAGTTTATTGTTAATTATTAGTGCTAATCCTTCACTGTGACTAACTGATAAACTTTCTGTACATGTAAATGTAGAGAAACATATAGTAGATGTTAAGTCTCAGGATTACCCAGGGTTTCAGGCATCCACTGGGGTCTAAGAGGATCTCTGTGGATAAGGAAGGACACTATATAGTGACCTGTTGCTTTTTTCTTTTTTAGTCTTTTTGGGGTCACTGTGGAAGAATGAGGATGGTTGGCCCCCTCTCAGTGGCGGGAAAGTCAAGGCCAGCCAGAGGGCACTCACTGACTTGGTGCCAAGCCAGAACCAGGACTCAGGTCTCCTGCCGTTGGTCCTCAGGGGCTGAGGCCATAACGCCCCCACCCTCCTGCCAGGGGCCTTCCCTAGCACAGCAGTAGCAAGAAGGCCCCATCTCATTTTTCACATGATGCCACATAGGTATCTATTGCTGGATATGCACTTGAGGAAACTCAAACTCTGCCAACAATCTAGTAATACGTGTAACCTTGGATTCTGCCCTAAAATATACTACTGTCTCCTTTGCTTGGGAAGTCTCAGGGTTTCATGATGCACCTGGCACATTGTAGGAGTTAAATCACATGCATCCCGTCTGCCAGTAGCTTCCCTGTTGCTCTATACACTTACTGGGCTCTTCCTCCGAGAGGCAGAAAACGATGATGAGGACTCAGTTTTCTTTGACATCGTTTTTTCTAACTGTGGAGTCCTTCTGAGCACACTTTTGTCTAAGATGAAGAAGAGCATTTTCAAGGGGAGGAAAGTACACCTGGAAGCCCACTGAGAGGCAGTGCAATCCCCAGCCTGGGGCGGTGGGGAGCAAAAGACCTACCATTGATGGCGGAGAGGTCCAAGTCAGGTGGCGCAGTGCCGTGCCCTTCAAGCAGTGTGGACTGTAGGTCACCTTTTCCGGTCCCGCTGCCGTCTGTGGGCCAAAAGAGGACCCCCAGAAGGGAGCAGTTAGTCGGTAAGATGCTCTGCACCTAAGCTGGGAACTCAGTGACTTTTTGTATAATACCACTTGCTCCCAAAAACCCACCTTCTTGCGAGGTGAAAGGAGAAAAGGCTGAAAAACCTTTGGAAATTCCCAGCCATCAACTTGAATATATTTTAAAGCAGAAGTGGAAAAAAGAATCACTCTTTATAACCCAAAGATGCAAATTAGGCTTTCTGCTGAACTTAGTAAAAGGCCTGTTTCAGGATACAGACTGTCCTCCACTTAGGATGGGGTCGTGTCCTATTAAACTCATAGTGAGTGACAAATGTCACGCATCAGGAATGCTGACTGGGAGATTCCACTGCCCAGCATCACCAGAGGACCAGACCCAGGTTTCTGTTCAATGTGTATACTTTTTACACCAATGATACATTGAAACACAGGATGTGGCACCATTATGAAGTTGGGAGCCATTTGTGTAAGGGTCAGCTACATGCCATGGGCTTGTTACACTCTCTGTTCTTTTTCCTTCTTCCTCTGGCAGATCTGAACTATTCACCTTCCCTAGGAGTGCCTTTTATTTTTTAGCCTCTATTTAAAATTACAAAGTTATGCCTTAAACCATCTAAAATGGGCAAAGACAACAGGTATATGAAAAAATGTTCACTATCACTTGTAATCAGGGAAATGCAAATCAAAACTACACTGAGATACCATCTTACACCAGTGAGAATGACACATATTAAAAAAACCAGCAACAACAAATGTTGGCGAGGGTGTGGAGAAAAAGGAACTCTCCTGCACTGCTGGTGGGAGTGCAAACTGGTCCAACCACTGTGGAGAGCTGTGTGGAGATTTCTTGACCTACTAAACATAGAGCTTCCATATGATCCAGCAATTCCACTCCTAGCTATTTATCCCAAAGGACACAGAAACATTAATTCCAAAGGGCACCTGCACCCCTATGTTTATTGCAGCACTATTTACAATAGGTAAGCTATGGAAACAACCCAAATGCCCAAAAACAGATGACTGGATCAAGCAGATGTGGTACATATACATAATGGAATATTACTCAGCAATCAAAAAAGATAAACTCATGCAATTTGCAGCAACATGGATGGAGCTGGAAGGGATCAGTGAAATAAGCCAGAAAGAAAAAGAAAAATACAGGCTGGTCTCACTCATAGCAGGAATTTAGAAAACCTAAACAAGGGACCATGAAAAAGACTACTTACAATAAGTAAAAATCAAAATCAACAAGCAACTATAAACCAAAAACACACTACAGAGGGGGGAGGAGGAAACAGGATCAAAACAAGGAGGGGGTGGGAATTATATGGGGACTATAACCAAGATGAAAATGCATACATTGTGCAAAAATGAAAAATGATGCAAAAATATATAAAATTTAAAAAATAATAATAAAAATAAAAGACAAACTAGAAAAAAATAAATGGGGCCTCCCTGGTAGTGCAGGGGTTAAAGACAGCACTGTCAAGCAATCAACAGCCACTGCAGCACAAGTTCGATCCCCCGCCAGGGAGCAACCCACATGGCATAGGAGACCTCTCCTGCCTGGTCCACTGCTCCCCTTAGCAGTGTGTTTCATTCGATCAGCCTGTTCTGGTCCTCACTCTGTCTCTGGTGAATCCCCTCACCCCACACATGTCTGGCCTGTACCCCAGTTCTTGCATGCATAAATAAATAAATCTTTAAAAAAAAAAAGAAAGAAAGAAAGAAAGAAAGAAAATGGGCAAAGGTGTGTTGCGTGCTTCAATTTAGCCAGTGCGCCAATGCTGCTGAGTGAACAGATGGCACGGGAAACATACTTTCACACCGGGAATGAAACAGAAAACTATTTCATGAACAACTAAGCAGTTGAGAAAACAAATGACAGAAAAAGAAAAGGGCAAAGTCACAATAATGTGTGGCGCACAGTACCAGTGGTGCCAGTGCCAAAAAAACAATTCAAATAAACAAAAATCATTTGAGCATGTTGTCTCCTGGTTGGGGGCTGAAAACAGGTGGGAGAGGGTGTTTTTTATTGTTCTTGCTTTTGATGGGTCGGATGTTTTGTCATCTTTATGTATGGTATTTGAGAAAATTAATTTCCTATGAAACCATACAGCAGAACTCCAATAAAATTTTCCTATGAAACCATACAACAGAACTCCGATAAGCAATCCTTCTAAATCATCATGGTGTTGTTTGAATTGTGGTTTCTCAACTTCTACAAATGCTGACATTTGGGGCTACATTGTTTTTTGTTGGGGGGCTCCTGTGCACCATACAGCATGTCTGGCCTCCACCCACCAAACGCCAGTAGCTTCTCTCTCTTACAACACCAGAAGGGTCTCCAGATATTGGGCATGTGTCTCCCAGGTGTCCCCTGGGTCACTCGCCCAGATGAGAACCCTGACTTTCAGAGGTGGCAAGCCTGGGTGCTAATCCCTCTGGCCACACCAGCTGTCTCAGTTTCATGCCTGGCTCTCATGCTAGCTGCATAAGAGAAAATAAGGTGGCCACTCCAGCACATTGTGCCTGTGATGGCTTCTCAACCATGCCTGGGTCAAGGAACAAAGTAAATTCTAACAAACACCTAAACCAGGAAAGGCAAACAAACTATAGCTCACAGGTCAACTCCAGCCTGTGTTTGTCAATAAAGTTTTATTAGCATATAATTTCACTCATTTGTATACTTCTGTGTCTTCCTTTCACTCTTCAATGACAAAGGAGAGCCTTCGTGACAGAGAGCATTTGCTTTCAAAGCCTAAAATATTTACCATCTGTCCCTGAAAAGGTATGCTGACCCTTGATCTGAACAATAAAGTAGAAAGTCTAAGTTATAAAACATCATACTTAATTTTCTCCTACAGAGCCAAAGCAGTCATCATTCTGAACGAGTGGGATGGGGCCAATAAAGCCTTGTTTTGTGTGACCTGCTCTCATGCAGAAGAGCTGTCCACTGTTGCCGGAGAGGAAGGTCTAAGTGAGGTTGCACCAAGCACCTTGCAAGGGAGGGAGCTTCCCAGGCTCCTTAAATAAGCTTGTTGCCTAGAACTAAACAGCAAATTCGCTGAGAGCAGAGGTCTGAGAGGCAGATCATGAGAGGGCTTCCATCCCTATACTATGCTTTCCATTGTTTTATAGAATACACATCACATTCACAATGAGAAAACTTAGCTGTTCATGTTGGTTTGGTGACAACTTCTAGAAGGAGGGTTAGGAGCAGCCATTCATCATGCCCACAATGGCAATGTGGTTCCTCTCTGGGACTACACAAGGATGAAGTAACCTCCCCATTCCCTTGTCATCCCCCATCTGCTCTCCACAAGCCCCAAGTCCATCCTTCCACTGAAACTCTTTGCCTGGCTCCTTCTTCTGATGTTTCCCAGAAAGAAAAGGGGAGTTTTGACTTAGTGTACATGGAAACAAAATTCACCACCACACTCAGCACCCTCCCCCTTCCTTGTGTACCTTTGCTCCTCTGCAGTGGGACAGGTTTCCTTCCACGTTCAGGCATCTTCCCACTGGTCCTTCCCACTCCTTCTGTTGTAGGAGCCTGTTGGGGAACATGACATTCAGGGGATAAGACATCACCCTTCAGGAGGAGAGGCCCCTTCTTGGCTTACACAATCTGCCATTGCTCAAACTTTGAAGTGAGGAACAGACTTAAGGAGTCTGACATTTACTTGCTTACATTATACAGGATGAACTAATTTTGTCAACATGCAATGAACATAGGAAACCACCAAAATGTGTGCTGATGATTATCTTTGACATCGCAGATTAAAGGGGGGCTAATGTCCTGTATACTTCCTAGTATTTGCTGGTTTTCTAGAAAGAACATATTTACTTTGGTTTTTTTAAAAAAAAGGTTTTATACAGGTATTAATCTTCAAACTTGCAAAAAATCAAGCAATGCATGAAGTCTGCCTGCTGTTACAATATAGAACCAGACTATACAGACTGAGAATTTCTTAATGCACAAACACCACTCTTGTCAACCCTGTACTAGAAGTACTAGAATAAGAAAATGGCAAATAGGGTAAGGAAGGAAGAAGTTAATTTTTCTTGCTGAGGTAATTCTTCACATAAAAAATTCTAAAACATCTTCAAAAATGCTTCCAAAACCATTAAGTTAGTTTAACAAGGTTGTACGATACAGGGGTAAATATTTAAAAAATCAGGCACATTTCTACTGACCAATAACTTTGGAAACTGAAATTAAAGTGCCATGAAAGTTCTCAGCAGCAGAGAAAAAAAAAATGTGCAACTGTGGTGATGGATGTTAACCAAACTAAGACTTACTGTGGTGATCATTTCACACTATATATGTAAATATCAAATGACTAGGCTGTGCACCTGGGACTATAAAATGTTGTATGTCAGTTACATTTCAATTAGAAAGAAATAAAACGTCTTCATTAAAAAGACAGCACCATGTATTACAGCAGTAAAAAATGCCAAATACTTATACATAAACATAACAATAGAAGGGGCAGATCTTTACACCAGAAGCCACAAAATTCTGTTGAAAGAGATCTAAGACCTAAATAAATGGAGATGTGTACTTTGTTCATAGATTGAAGACTGCATTTTTTAAAAATAGATTTATTTATTTATTTATTTATTTATACAAGCACTGGGTACAGTCAGAAGCATGGGAGGGTGAGAGAATTCACCAGAGCCAGAGCGGGGAGCAGAACAGGCAGACTGACAGGGTACACTGCTGAGGGAAGCAGTGGGCACGGCAGGAGAGGTCTGTCGCGCCATGTGGGACCCTCACCAGCGGCCGGGGATCGAACCAGCACTGCAGAGGCTGCAGGCAGCTTCGCAGCCCAGCGCTCAACCACTGCGCCACTGGGGAGGCCCCTGAAGACTGCATTTTTAAGATGTCATTTTCCCAAAATGGATACACAGATCCAATACAATCAAAATCCCAGCAGGAGTTTTGGTTGAAAATGGCAAGCTAAATCTAAAATTTACATGGAGAGGCAGAAGTTCCAGAAGAGCCAAACAGTTTTGAGAAAGAATAGAGTAGGAGATTCACACTATCTAATTTCAAGACTTGTTACAAAGCTACAATAATCTTGGCAGCTGGCCTAGGAATAGACACTAGAAGAATGGAAAAGAATCGAGTCCAGAAATGATTCACACATGTGTGGCCCACTGAGTTTCAACAAAGGTGATGAGGCAATACAATGGGGAAAGGAAAATCGCTTCAACAAATGGTATTGAAACAAGAGAACATTCACACACTTAAAATAACAAACCTTGATTTCATCATTGCACCAGACATAAGAATTCAAAATGGATCATAGCAACTTGCCTCCCAAGACTCTCCACTTGTGACTACTCACAAGGTGCTCTTTTTCTCCTTCTCCTTTCCTTAATAAACCTGACCTTTTAAAATGCATTTAGGGCCTCCCTGGTGGCTCAAGGGTTAATGATAGCACTATCAAGCTATCCATAGCCACTACAGCAGGAATTCTATCCCCAGCCAGGGAGGTGACCCACATGGCACAGCAGGCCTCTCCTGTCTCACCTGCTGCTCCCCTCAGCAGTGTATTTCAGTAGATCTGCCTGTTCTGCTCCCCACTGTCTGGTGAATCCTCTCACCCCCTGCACCTCTGGCCTATACCCCTGCTCTTATATGCATAAATAAATAAACCTTTAAAAATAAAATAAAATGTGTTTTAGAAAAAAAGGATCACAGACCTAAATGTAAAACCTAAAGCAGTAAAACTCCTGGAAGAAAACATGAGAGAAAATCTTTGTGATATTGAGTGAAGGTAAAGATTTCTCAGACACCAAAAGCACAAGCCATAAAAGCAGAAAAGCCATCAAAATTGAGAATTTCTGCTTCCAACAAAATACTGAGAGAATGAAAAAACAAGCCACAGACTGGGAAAAAATACCTGCAGGTAATCATAAAGGGCTGATATTCAAAGTATATAGAAAGAGCTTTTAGGGCCTCCCCGGTGGCACACGGGTTAAGTCTCAGAGCTATTAAGCTAAGGCCAGCCACTGTAGTATGAGTTTGATGCCTGGCCAGGGAGCTAACCCACATGGTGCAGCAAACCTCTCCTGTCTCGCCCTCTGCTCCCCTCAGCAGTGTATTTCAGTAGAGCTGCCTGTTCTGCCCCCCACTCTGTTTCTGGTGAATCATCTTACCCTCCGCACGTCTGGCCCAGACCCCAGTTCTTCCACGCAAAAATAAATAAAATAAAAATCTTACAATAAAGGAGTAATTCTTTAAAAAAAATAGGAAAAGCAGATTAAAACCACAATAAGGTACTACTTCAAACTTATTGGGCTTCAATCTCAAAGTATCAAAAGGAACTCACACTTGGGGCTGGTGGAGCTGCAGAGGTAAGGCTACTTTGGATTGTAGTCGGGCAGTTTATTACACAGTCAAGCATACATGTAGCCTATAATCCCCCTCCCGGGAAAAAATGAGAACACATCCACATGGAAGCCTGCGCAGGAATGTTTAAGGAGGCTTTGTTTGTAACTGCCAAAAACTGGAAACCAATCAAATTCCTTCAGCCACCAAAACCAACTGACCCTGACTGGCAATGATAGGGCAATAATAGGGAGAGACCTCCAATGTGCTCTTTATGTAAGAGAAGTCACACACGAGTGACTGCACCCTGTGTGACACCTTTTAAATGACCTATGGAAAAGACAAAGCTACAAAGTCAGACAACACTACGGCAGACACATGGGGGCACTATGACCAAGTCTGCAGGGCAAGATGAAAATGATCAAGGTGTGATCATATGAAGTATGTCCCTTGATTGAAAGTTACCCTGACACTGTAAGCCAGTAAACCAGACTCTGTTTGATGATGAGTCCCTGTAGGATCATTAATTATGACAAATGCACCACTCAAGTGGGAGTGGGAGGGTGTTGATAGAGGGGGAGGCTGTATATGTGTGGGAGTAGGAGGGATATGGGAAATCTCTGTACTCAATTTTGCTGTGAATCTAAAAATGCTCTAGAAAATACAGTTAATTAAAAAGGGAATTTTTGAGAGGTGTCAATTTGCACAAAGACCTTTTTCCTCAAGCCAGAGCTTAAGTCACACTGTTGAGAACCTGTGACTTACCCTACTCAGTAAAACAAAGGGAAAAGCAATTAATATTTAAATTTTACAATAAACAAAGACATAGCAAGCAGAGGGACTAACACAACCTTCACTACATTCTCAGCAGTAAACTGAGAAACAAATACATAATTGGAAACAAATACATAATTGGGTAAACTGATCGTTTTTGCTAAACTGTACACAAGGCAAGCTCTCAAATGATGAAGTGTCTTTTATGTCATGGTTTTCAATGGTTTCATAATTTTCTTTCCCTTTCTTTTTTCCACTTTCAGCAAAAACTTTTATTTTTAACAAAGAAGTAATTTTGCCATTTTCTATTCTTGGTATAATTAATTCTTTCCAGTGGAACCAAAGTCTCCTGAACCCCTTTCAGTGTCCTCCAAAATTTGAACAACTTCTATTTTTGGATAAAAAATTCTTTCACAAATGAGCTGTGCAATTCGATCACCCCTTTTGACTTCAAACTTTTCTTTGCCAAAATTAAACAGTACAACACCAACATTTCCTTCATCTATAATCTTCATCTATGACACCAGCTTCTACATCTATGAAGTGTTTTGCAGCCAAGCCAGAATGTGGAGTTACTCTTTCATAAGAAGAGCTATCGAATGTGAGTTTTCACAGGGCTGTCTCTATAGGTGGTACCGTATAATCATAGGCACGACACAGGTCATAGCCTGTGGCTTGCGTCAACCCCTTGGTTGGGGCAGTGGAGTGTTCGGAGAGCCAGACAAAGCCGAGGCTCAACGGGCCCTCCTCCACAGCCCGGGAGTCTATGGGGCGCCACTGCCCACGGCCATGACTCCCCAGATTCTAATCTCAGGGGCCCCTAAAGCAGATTCATAATTTTCATAGTTTTCTGAACTCTTCCTCTATTATTGGATGATACAGGTCTATTATCTCTTTCTCTAAAACCCGGCAGGTATTTGTTAAAGAGCAGGTAGGCCCAGGCGGTTTGCTAGAAATGAGGCAGAACTACTCCAAGACAGAACTCAGAAAAGAACTCTCACGCTTAGAGGCAAGGACAGTTTTAGATTTCAACAGAGATCACAGGGGTTTGCCAAAGGGACTCTCGAATAGAGTGGCCAGGCTCGACACTCATGACATGGCACAAACGGCAGCACCTCAGATACAGCTGAACAAAGATGGTAAAGGCTTTCTTCGGGACCACTATGCCTGGTGTCTAGGACTTGTCTTGGAATCCCAGGTTCATCAGAACTCCTTTAGAATCTTTCAAACATGTTCTATGTTACCTTTTTGGTGGTTTTCTTTTCATACTGCAAGTATCGGGACTCAACCACACGTCCACCTGTGGGGACACACAGTTGGTATACAAATAAACAAATAAACAGTGGATGCTGAGGATCCCACACACACCCACTCCAATACCTGGGTGCTAAGGACTTTCCGTGCTCAAGACAGCACTGGGGAACTGCTTCTCTTTGCTCCTCTCAAATTCTGTCCTGGAGCACTGGCAAGCATGTATGGGACACCTGTGTGCAGGAACATGGATGGGGCAACTGCTTTGTGCAGGAACTTTATTGGACATCTACTATCTCTAAGCCTATGTGTGAGGCACCTATTATATAAGAACATAATTGGATCACCACCATGCAGGAATATATATGGGACACCTATTGTTATATGAACATGTATGGGAGACCTCCGAATACAAGTCTCTGGGCTAGCAGCAGAGTTAAACTGATCAACAGGAGCTACGCGCTGAAGGTTAAAGCAGGGAGTGGATTCAGGGACTGAACCAAAGGATGACTTTTCACCAGGGCCTCCTACTTGCCTCCTCCTCCCTTCTCAGCTCACTCCATGACCCCTCACTCACGGTACCATCTTTCATTGCACCACCCCTGAACCCTTGGGGTCCAGAAGTTACTTTCATCTTGCTGTTTTATACATAGCACATCATCATTTGACACAACCTACGGTCCCCGCATCTCCATTTGGTGCACTGATTGTCCTGTACCCACTCCGGGTGTCTCTAAAATTCAGAAGGCTCCTTTTTTTTTTTTTTTAAACAGAGGCATGTTTTATTTATTTATTTGTTTGTTTGTTTGTTTGTTTTGTTTATTCATGCACTGGGTACAGTCAGAAGCACGGGAGGGTGAGAGAATTCACCAGAGCCAGAGCGGGGAGCAGAGCAGGCAGAAGGACCGAAGTACACTGCTGAGGGGAGCAGCGGGCGGCAGGAGAGGTCTGCGCGCCATGTGGGACCCTCCTCCGGTGGCCGGGGAGCAGCCGGGGATCAAACCGGCGCCGCAGAGGCTGTGGGCAGCTTTGCAACCCAGCGCTCAACCGCTGCGCCACCAGGGAGGCCCCAGAAGGCTCCTTTTTACCAAAGAGAGAGTGACATGGTCAGTGAACCCAGGCTGACAGCTCAGAGAGTGAGAATGTGGTTCCAGGAGTTATCTTCACACTAGGATTTGTGTTTTCCTTTGGTAATTGGGATTGCAGTTGCAACCCTGAGAGGAAAGGATGTGCACCCTCAGTTAATGGGGAGCCCCGTACTGGCTATGGAGCTGAAGGTCACCCTTAGAAGGGATGAATCATGTCTCGAGGACAAGTGGGTCAGACAACAGGCAGGACACACCTCAGGGTTAAGACCAGGGCCAGGAAGGGAAAGAATTAAGCCACACTGATGGTCTGCCACTGAATGACAAGCAAGGAAAAGGATACACCCCCACTTCCAATCAGGAAAGGTCATCCTGCATTGAGTCTAATATAGTTAGCAAAGGGTTTAGCTCATCTAGGAGGGACTTGGACAGTTGGAAAGTAGTTCCAAGTTTCTGGAAAACTAGTATACAGGTTTATTTAAACAGTGGTAGATATTCCACAAAAGCAACATGATAAAGGATGTAATCTATGTTTAAGAACTAGGTTGTGTGCAAATAAAATAGAGGGTCTAACAAGATTATTAAGCAGTGATGCAACATGACAACCTTCAGTCATTTGGAACCAGAATTCTGCCACATTCTCTGCAATGAGCACGGGCATCTAGCACAACTCAAGTTTTCTTTTACTTTTACTTTTTTAAGTTTACCGTCCACGTCGGACATTACTGAGTCCAGGGGAATATTAAATGACCTCAAAGCAAGAGGTGGGCACTGAACTCATAGTACCCTGGACTGACCACTTACAGTGAGGGAATGGAGACGCTACTGTTCAGTAGTGAGTTCAGCTCATGCTCTCCACACCTACATGCCAAGTGGCAAGTCCCAGGCACAGCCCTCCACCCCACGGCTGGAAAGACCTATTGGCCTGGAGGACCCAACCAGGGCCTACAACACTCCTGGCTGCAGGGCTGGGTGAGCAGACCCAGAATTCCCAAAGGTGTGGCTGGAAGGAAGTTCTAGCTCCCTTGCTTGGTCTTTTTCTTTCCCAAAAGCACTTACTGAAAGAAAAAAAAAATCATTTTTATTTTAACGAATCATGAAGGAGTTCCTAACTTTACTTACCTTGTGTTTTTCTTCCTTTCATCTTAGCACCACTAGGAGTACTGGGACCCCCTGCAGAAGGCTTCCTGAGCGGAGGAAAAAAATCTTATTTATGGACAGACACCCTGACTTATGATGACTCAACTTATGATGGCGCAAACATGACTCATTCAGGGGTCTCCCTGGTGGGGCAAGGGGTTAAGACGCAGCACTACGAAGCTACCCACAACCACTGCAGCACGAGTTTGATTCCCGGCCAGGGAGGTGATCCACATGGCACAGCAGACCTCTCCTGTCTCACCCGCTGGTCCCCTCAGCAGTGTATTTCAGTCAATCTGCCCGTTCTGCTCTCCACCCTGTCTCTGGGTGAATCCTCTTACCCCCCCAATACCTCTGGCCTGTACCCCAGTTCTTCAATAGCATGAATAAATAAATCTTTTAAAAAAATGACTCATTCAGTAGACACTGTACTTCACATCTGGAATGACGGCACTCAGTTCACTTTCAGTATAGTACTCAACCAACTACGTGAGAAATTCCACATTTCAGTATAAAATGGGCTCTGTGTGAGATGATTTTGCCTGACTAGAGACTAATGTCAGTGTGCTGAGCTTGTTTAAGTCAGGTAGGCTGAGTTATGAGGTGCTGTGGTAGTAAATGCATCTTCCACTTATTTTCAGCTTATAATGAGTTATGAGGATGTTGTTACACCATCCTAAGCTGAGGAAGATTTGTATTTGGTCAAGAAGCTGAGGCAAGCCAGTGAGGAGCCTGGGCTTTTGATTTCTGTGAGGCAGGGGTACTGCCACAGGAAGAGGGACACAGAGCCTCTGGCACACAAGGTAACGCAGCAAAGCCCAACACCTAAACTGACAAGGACCAGATGAGAGGAGTGAGCACTTTTGCCAAGACTCAAAGATCTCAACTGAAATCACAGGTTAATTCATCAGGCATTTATGTACCTACTATATCCACTGGGGCTACGTGGTGAACAAGAAATAGAGTTCCTTCGATGAGAGGGATGCCCAGCATGGTTCCCCATCAGACAGCTATGAGGAGCACTCCAGATACATAACTGGAGGGAAATGGGGGGATAAGGAGGGGAATGACAAACCACTATTTGCTCAAGACATTCTAAGGCTGGGTTCAAGGAGGTTGTGGAGGACAGAGAAGAATGATATGGATAAAGGAAGCAATCAGCCCAGAGAACTGACAGGGATGCAAATCAGGAGAACTCTGGGTGTGGCTGGCAGAGTTCTGATTTTCTAGCTTAAGGGCTGAGACCTATTCCGAGAGCCTGGGGTTTGGCACCCCTGGACTGGACAATGAATATTTTCAGCCCCTGCTTGCAGTCAAAACAACAAAGTGGAGGGGGGAAAGTAAAGATTCCCTCTGGGGTATGAGGCAGGGCCCTGGAGTCTAAGTGATGGAATCAGACCAAACCTTTAGAGACCTGGAGGTGGCAGGGGGACACATCTGTGCCAGCCTCAGGTAGCTCCCCCACAGCTCAGAAAGACAATATCACATTTAGGGCAAAGTGCTGGGGAAGAAACAAATTACTTCAGCGGGCCTACATAATGTTAATAAACTTTTGCCAAATGAACAAATAAGACAAATCTTGCCTCAAAATTATACTTGGCACCCACCCGGTAAGACTTCAATGTCTTTCTGGTTCTTACTGTGAGCCTAGAAAATAAGACCTTCCCTCTCTGAACCTCCATCAATTCATTTGAAAATGGGGAGCATAGAAAAAAGCGGGTGGGAGGATTCAAGGAGGTACTTTAGCGGCCAGGCAAGTGTCCACTACAAAGTGACAATTCTAATAAAGATAGGTCCTATTTAGGACAGGCACTGTTCCAAACGCTTTAAGGCCTCACAAGAGTCCCTAGAAGGTTGAGTGGCAGCGTCATCCCACCGGATTCCACAGCAGAGGAAAGGGAGGCACAGAGGTTAAATCACTGGTAACGGCGAGTCGAGACTGGAATTAGAGCTCGGGGCCGCCGCCAGCACCCGCCCTCCGAGCATGCGCGCAGGCCGCACCCCGCCGGGGCCACCGGAGCCAGCGCAAGCCGGGGGGTTCTGGGAGGGGTCCGACCCCAACTCACCCCGACGACCCTCGTCCCCCAACGCGGCCGCACCGCCACCCCAACCCTCGGCCATGGCCTTCATGACGGCAGCCCCTCATCCAGATCCGCGGCGCCTCCACTCACCCGGCGCCGCGACCCAAGGAATCCGCCATTTTCCCGCCTTCAACTCAAAGGCCGGCTCTACAAGCCCAGGTCCCGCCCCTCGGCCCGGGCCGGGCCATGGAGTGGAGTCGCGGGAGGGGTGGCCGCGGCCGCAGGGCGCGTAGGAGCCAGCTCTTATTCCGTGCGCCTTTCCGTTCTCCCCTCGCACTTGTTTTCGCCCGCCAGCCGCGGGAGGCGGTGGCTGGGGACCCTGCGGAAGACTGGGGCGGGGCCTCGAACCGCTCCGCCCCCGAAGCGCGTGGCGTCACGCCCTAGCCCCGCCTCTCCGGAACCCGGAAGCGGGAGCGCGCGGGGGAGCTGCGGGCGCGGTGGGGCGGAGCGGCCGGACGAGGGGCCGGCGGGCGGGCTGGGACCCGGCCCGGGACCGGCGGCGCGCGGCGGCCGAGGCCCAGGTGAGTGCCGGGGGTCGCGCCCTGGGGGTTCAATCGCGAAGCTCGCAGCGGCGAACCGCCTTGCAGAGGCATGAGGCTGAGGGTCGATGTGGGGGACACGCAAAAAAGGGGTCCAGGGGGCGGGAACGAGCTTGGGGGTGGTGCAGAGTTGCTGCCGACCGGGTGGGCTTGGGCCGTAGAAGGAGAAAGAGAATGGGATGGGCCTGGTGAGGGAGTTCGCGGGCGGAGAAGGGGTACGTCTTGTGGGTTTGAGTTGCTTCTCTGAAGAGGACGTGGCTTAAGTGGTGGTTGGGGGGTCGCAGGAAACGGGGCTGGGAGGGAAGAAAAGGAAGGAGGCGGGGTAGAGAGGCCCGGGCTGGGGGAGAGGGGTAAGGCCGGTGAGGGGCGGGGTGGGGGGGTGGGGGGGGACAGCTGTGGTGCGCTAAGGAGAAGGGGTGCAGAATGGCCTGCGGGCATTTACCCAGTGTGAGGGACTGGAGGAATGGTGTCAGAGAGCTGGTGGGGCCTGGAGCTCTGGAGCTCTGAACCCACTTGTGCGGTTGCCAGGGAATTAAGAAGAGAGGAAGTCAAAGACCGAGGGGAAGAAAAGGGTTAGAAGGCATGGAACTAGCTGCTGACTGATCCGGAGAGAACTGGGTGGGAGGGTAGTGAAGGAAAAGCCCCCACTGGAAGTTGAGATGAGCCCGGGGCTCCCCTAAACTCTTGATTTATCTTTCTGACTTCACCGCCCCCCCCCCCCAAAAGCACTGGATGACCTAGGGCAAGTCCCAGTACACTTTGGGCCTGTAGGTATTTCAGGGCATCTCTCTCTGCCTGACCGGCCTGGCTACTATATAAGGGTCCCAGGGAGAGAAGAAGGAACCTGGGAGTTGGGGCTCCCCACACACACTGCAGGGCCGGAACTTGAGTTTCAGAAGGGAGGGAGCAGTGTGCATGCCCCGCACCCTCGTTTGCTTAGCTGTCACCACCTCCTCAGAGTTGCATCCTTGGACTTAAATGGGTAAAACAACATACAGGAAATGTGTCCCCCGGAGGCCTTGAGCTCAGACTGGCAGTCCGTGACATGCCCTCCCTTCTCTCCAGGGCACCCTATAGGCCAGGAGTCTTTAGGGAAAGCCTCTTGCACTTTGTCAGAGGTGGAAAGTAGTGAGACATCCCACCTTGCAGTTGGAAGGTACCGGCTCCTGCCTTCCTGACGTGTGTCCCCTTCTTACAGTCCCCACATGCTTAAGGCACCCAGGGCAGCAACCAGAGGTAACCTGGGCATTTGGACAGATGTCTCACCGTCTGATGGACCTGGCCCTGGTAAGGGCCTCACTTTCAACAGCATTAATTTCTCTACTTTTATGACCATAGGAATCCTTATCAGGGATTTGTCACAAGGACTAGGGAGCTCATTCAGGACATGAGTCTGGATAGCTTAATGGTGAACTGGGTCACAGAGAGGTAATACCCCATTTCACTTCCAGAATGTTCTGACCCCTATGGAGACATGATGAGAACCCAGTTGTGCCTCCTGCAAACACCAAGTGTGGGCTGGCCCTGGCCAGGAGACCCGTGGATGAACAAGTCCAGAATCCTCTGGTTCCATGGTCACTGTGTTTTCTGCTCCCTATATCAGAAATATGGCCAGATGGGCTCTCAGGGAGAGGCCTACGTTAGACACCCTGGCTTCCATCAAGTCTTTCTCGTTCTTCACTTTCAAAAGTGATGGATTACCCTCAGTCAGCATTACTCAGCTTTGAAACCCTCTTAATAATCTTAGCATCTCAGGCAGAGCACCCCTCAGATTTTATGTGCTCCCAACTGGCAGATATATGCTGCCTTGACCCCACTTTTATTTAGCTTTCCATTCTGGAGCTTCTTTTTTTTTTTTTTTTTTTTAAAGATTTTATTTGTTTTTGCATAGAAGAACTGGGGTATAGGCCAGAGGTATGGGGGGGAGGGGTCAGAAGATTCATCAGAGACAGAGTGGGGAGCAGAACAGGCAGATCTACTGATGTACACTGTTAAGGGGAGCAGCGGGTGAAACAGGAGAGCTCTGCTGCACTATGTGGGTTAGCTCCCTGGCCAGGGTATTGAACTCAGGCCACCACAGAGGGCCATTGATGAGACTTAACCCCTAGGCCACCAGGGAGACCCCATTCTGGAGTTTCTATCTGAAAACTGACCTTTGTTGCAAGTTGCAGTGCCCAACACCTACTTTTGTATACTGCACTTGTTCCCAAAGTGACATCTTTCTGGTTGGAAATCCCTCAGGTTCAGACCTGTGACTTGGAGAAACAGGTGGGAACTTGGGAATCTCCCCTTTCTTCTGTTTGGCTATAGGATCCTTTTTTTTTTTTTTTTTTTTTTTTTTTGTCCCTAACAAAAAGCAGCTCATTAATTTGCTGCTTCCCCTTCATGCGTCCCGGGTGGGCCCAGCATGCAGTTAAACAAGGACTTACCATGCCGGGGCCTGGGGCCAGATTAAGAGTCTTGTGCTTAGAAGAGGGATTTTCTCTTTTTTTTTTTTTTTTTTTTTTTTTTTTTTTTTTTTTTTTTAAAGATTTATTTATTTATTTATACAAGCACTGGGTACAGTCAGAAGCGCGGGAGGGTGAGAGAATTCACCAGAGCCAGAGCGGGGAGCAGAGCAGGCAGAAGGACCGAAGTACACTGCTGAGGGGAGCAGCGGGCGGCAGGAGAGGTCTGCGCGCCATGTGGGACCCTCCTCTGGTGGCCGGGGAGCAGCTGGGGATCGAACCGGCGCTGCAGAGGCTGCGGGCAGTTTCGCAACCCAGCGCTCAACCGCTGCGCCACTGGGGAGGCCCCAGAAGAGGGATTTTCTAATGGGCCCTACCCTCCCCATCATATAATGAATCAGAATGTGCAGCAGTCAGTGCATAGACAGAGGTACAGAATAGGTGTAACCATGACCCGTGGATGAACAAGTCCAGAATCCTCTGGCTCCATGGTCACTGGGTTTTCTGCTCAAGGGGGTTTCCAGTAAGTTTCCTTGGAAGAGGTATCTGGCCCCAAGCCAAGCCTTGAAGGATACAGAGGTGTTAAACCAACCTAGGAACTGGGAATTACACAAGCAGGTCCTTGCAAAGTTCTTTTTTTAAGAAAGATTTATTTATTTATGCATACAAGAACTGGTGTCCAAGCCAGAGGTGTGGGGGTGGGACGGGGCGAGAGAATTCACCAGAGACAGAGTGGGAACAGAACAGGCAGATCGACTGAAATACACTGCAGAGGGGAACAGTGGGCAAGACAGGAGAGGTCTGCTGTGCCATGTGGGTCACCTCCCTGGCTGGCTGGGGATTGATCTCATGCTGCAGTGGCTGCGGACAGCTTCATAGATTGTGTCTTAACCCCTTGCGCCACCATGGAGGCCCAGTCCTTGCAAAGTTCTGCCCTTTATTGAATATCTTCTGTAGTGGACACTTTTATACCCAACTTTTCTATCCTGCTAACTGTCAGCAAGGGGACTCTGTTCCTATCTTCCTGATAGGGAAACTGAGACCTGGCCAGTAATGACTTCAGAGATGGCTCCCTGGGCTTTCTAGAAACAAGAAGTCACTATAGTAGCCTCAAATCAGCCAAGACCAAATTGCTAAATTGATTTCTCAGCCACAGCACCATTGGCACTTGGGGCCAGAGCATTATGTTGTTGGGGCCACCCTGTGCATTATGAGGTGATGAGTGTGTGTCTCTGGGGGTTGGGGGACAGAACCAGCCCCTAGCCAAAATTGCTGCCCTGTAGTCATACCCCCTCTCTTGTCCACCCTACCCCCAAGGTGAGGGGAGCCTCTCTCCTTCCCCCACCAGACTGGATATGCCTTTATCCTCTAATGCCCCAATCTCTCTGAACACCCCCATTCTCCACCTGTTGGTGGGGGGTGCTCCTTGACCCACCCAGATTTGACAGTTCAGGGGGGCTCCCCTGCTATCCCTCCTCCCATCCTGTACCCCCCATTTCTGGGGCCTCATCACTGTGGAAGACGGGGATAGTAAGGGTATACGTGGGTGGGAGGCATGGGGAAGGTTTTGGAGTAGAACTAGGGGTGTGTATGAAGTGGGGTGACAAGGTCCCCCGGGGGGGGGGGGAACCAACCTTGTCTGGTGGATGAGAAGGCGTATTTATTTTTCACAGTACAGTATTTAAAAAGAGAATAAAAAAATCCAAATGGCAAAAAAAAAAAAAAAAATTGCTGCCCTGTAGTAAAATCTGTTTCTTGTCCCAAGCCTGAAATTCCTCAGTGGGTCTGTGGTGTTTGTTGAGCTGCTGCCAAAGGCAGGTGTGAGGAAAAGAGGTTAGCAACTGAATTCTGCCTCCTGCTCAGTTCTTAATCTGGAGTCCTGATAAAAGGTGGAACAGGTTGGGAATGGGCTGAAGGATAGTTAGACAACACCCTCTGAGAATGGACAGCAGAGAAGGAACTAGAGGTGAGCCAGGGTCATCTTCACTTAGTAGGACAGTGGTGCCATTGTCTTTCTCCTCTTTGTCTCATGAGTGTCCTGGGTTTCTGGAAGAACTGTCCTTGCCTGAGAATGAATTGTTGCTCTTCTTCTGAGATTAGAGGTATTAGATTCTCTGCTTGAACACTCCTTTGGTAGTGGCTTCGGATCAGCATAGCTCCTGAAGCCACAGTATCTGCTCTTTTTGCACTCCTTGGCTCCAGATATCTTCTGTGCTTAGGTACAGACTATCTAATTTCTGCTCTTTGTGCTGCCCTCTCTGCTGGTTCCCTAAACATGGTGTTGCCACTTTGACTCCATAAGAAGAAACAACACATTCTGGGGCTATCCGACCCCTTCCAGTCACAATGGCTATCCGACCCATTGCCCATTCCCCACCCACCAGCTCTTTGTGCACCAAGTGTCCCTAGCCAACTGTGCCAGGCAGCCCTTGCCCAGCCTCCCCACACAGCAGGACAGGCCCCTCTCTCTGCCCCGGTCCCAGACGGATGGAGTAGGGAACAAAGGGCTGTCTGAGAGCTACTGGGCCGCTGGGG